GGGGGGGGGGGGGGGGGGATAGTGTGGTGGTTCTGTGTATGCTTGTTATTGGCTTCTCGTTGCTAAAAAATACCGTGTTTAAAGATCATTCTCATGAGATGCTTCTATATGTCAAAACAGGAGCACGATGCGTTGCAACTCTGTTGCACGAGATGAAACGTCGCGGAAAGGACTGCCGATTTGGTGTGGTGTCCATGTGCATAGGTATGTTCAATTCTCTCCCTTTTTGATCCCTCCCACCCCTCAGCACCCAAAACCCTGAAAATAGAATGGCTCATCAACCCTTTTCTGATGTTATTTTTTTTTGCATTTCCCAACAGGCACTGGAATGGGGGCAGCTGCTGTCTTTGAAAGAGGAGACTCCTGTGATGAGCTATGCAATGCCCGAAAAATTGGAAGCCACAATCTCTTATCTAAGGATGCTCTATAAACAGAAGGGATACACAGCAGTCGTTTCGTTTAGTAATATTTACAGAGAAGAAGAACAATAAATCATAATAAGCTTTGAGACATTTTCTTGAAAAAAAAGATAGATTGTAAAATTGCATTGGTTTTGCGATTATCGGCTGGATCAGCCTTGTACTTTGAAAATTGCTTTGGTCTTTCATGATATGCTTTATATGTTTTGTGTTCCAAACTTTCAGAATTCTCCTGTTTTTCAATATTTCATAGAACTACTCTCCTTTTGATTAAGGGAATATTCATCTTTTTCGTTCAGTTATATGTTCACTGTGAGGTGAAAAGCTTTCCAGGGGTCTCCTTCAAAATCAGAAAAGATTCACTAGGTCTACAGAAGAAACTTTTTTTTCTAGTTCTTATTATGCATTGGAGTTCATTGGAAAAAACCAATCAATTTCCTTGCAATCTTTCTAATCTGTACAAAGTTGAGGAGAATTTGCTATGGCCCTATCCTTTTTGTTCCTGTTTGGACTCTATTGCTACAAAGACTTGGGACAAGAAGCTAAAATTATGGCCTTCGCTGACAAGTAGGAAATGGAATTGCTTTGACATCCTAAAGTTATCCTGTAATTATTCACATCAGTCGAGTGTGGAGTGTTTTAATCCGTAGACACGGGGAGTAAGTCTCATGGGTATTTCATAAAATAATACAATTACAGTAAATATTAATAAGTATAATTACATAAAAATTTAAAAAATAAATAAATAAGTGAAATATATATATATATAGATGCGTTCCATAAAAAACAGTCAAAATAATCTATTATACAAAAAGGAAATAGTTTTCTATATGGAGGGACAAAAAAGATACTGAACCTTCAATTTGAACTTTGAACTTGCTGCTATGGAGGGGAATGAAGTTTTTTTTGTATTTGCGAAAAAATTGATTGTACGTAGCTTTGGGAGATACTAGCAGACGCGGACAAGATAAGAATTGGAAAAAATCATAAATTAAGGTTTCTATCAATAAATAAAAAAAGGTATTGACTTTTAAATTGAATGTTTTAGTTCATTTTAAAACTTTTTGAGTAATTACAAGCTGACTTTGAGAATTTGGTATTATATTATGGACTTATTCAGCAAATTTTGTTTTAACTTGAGGAAGTCTCTTGGGCTCACGCCTCGCTACAAAAATTCGCCTCAACTCCAGGGTGTACGCCCTTTTTGAGACTTTCGCCCCACTATCGCCTCGGGTCATTTTTAGTGCACCTCATCCTAGGGCTCGTCCCGAAAACACCTTTGAAAACATTGCAGTCAAGTTAGTAGTATTTTCAATTGATATTCTAAGATTTTCTGACTATAATAGAGTCAGACCACAACGATGCATATGGATAGTAATCGACAAGATTGATAAATTATCACAAACTTTCCCTTATTTTATTTTTCTATTTTAATTGCTGGATAACAATACGATGAATATGACGAGCGTAGAGGTGCTGCTGCGCTTTAGTGGAGCATTCACAACAAGATGCCTCTTTTATTTGGCTCGTAGCAGAGGGTTTTATTTCTCGTAGTTGATGTCTAATTTCGTAGCTTCCTAAGCTCTAATTATGTCTCAAACCAGACTACACTGGGAACAGACCAGAGGCAAAGACGGAATTTGAAAAAAGTTACGGGTTCTGATCTTATCACTGAACTCTAGCTCGTTGTAGTTACTAGGTTTGCAATTGAATATTTTTACATATTTAACGAATTTTCTAATACAACTATAAGATTTAAGCAAAAATTACTGGGTTAATCCGAACCCGTAACTGCTACACTACCTCCGCCCTTGGAACAGACACCTTAGATCAATGGGGGACCAACAATTATAAATACAACCATAAGTCCATAACAGTGGAATAACTACCCTAGACCATTTTATGAGAGGAATTTTTAGCTCCTCAGCCAACTGCAGGTGACAAATAAAATGTCACAGTCGCATTATAGGACTAACTTGGCTAAAGTCTAATAAAGGACCAAATTAAATTTTTTTTTAAAAACACTCAACAGATAAGGTGGCCACACAACCTATACCCAATCAATCAGTTTGACACCCCACCCCCCACGNTATTGGAATATTGGTTTTAGTTAAAAGGTTACACCAGAATAGTATCATAACCAATTTCAGTAACTTCTTAATTTTGCTCAAATGAGGCTCTGAATTTGTCTATCAACTTTTCTCTTTAGTTAATTAACGCAACAGCATCCTAACTACCAAGATTCAAATTCTCACAAGGACATGAGGTTCACCGATCCCTTAATAAGAGAAATTTGAAATCATACAGCTCGAACCAATACAATAAATTAACATGCAAAGATCTATTTTAAAATATTTAATCAATTCGACAACTAATTAGACTACGCATAAATTCATATTCATCTCAGAGAACTTGGAAAGTAGGAATATCAAAATGAAGTTTCATCAATGATTGGAAGTAGTGTTGCACAGACCACCAACTAGTATGTGCTCATCAACAACCTCATAAAATCGAACATTTGTATTTTTTTCGTCGTTAAATGTAACCTCAAATATGCATCTTTAGAAAATCAAGCATAGAAAGGTAATTGCAGAAAACTATATAGCGAAATAAGGCATTTGTTCTGATCAACCTCCAAAGAAACAAAAAGATTGTATCAGAATCTAGCTGCAACTGCCACAACATACCAACTATCATCTCTAAAGCAGGTTTAAGCTATCGAAGACTTGCAAACTGGACATGATGTTTTTCTCCTCAGCCACGGATCGATGCACTGCAGTAAGTTCAACGACTGTTAGAAATTTGGTTGCTTAACCAACAATAAAAACACTCGAGCAAGAAAATTCAGAAAGTTTACATCTTTGTGAAACTTGTGCAAGCAAGGAAGATGGCGGATGACGTCCCCCACGGTAGGAGTTTCAAGACAAACTGCACATGCTTCTTGAAGACTCTCATTCTGCAAGGAACCAAAGAGGGTAAGCAACGTGCAATTCCAGCTACTCACGGCTTTAAGCAGCAGCCAGCAAACCAACATCTATGCTCTACACTCGCATAGATGTGTACTCCTTTATTATAGTAGAATGTCAAGGATATACAACAGTGTTAATCTAAGGTAAGAATTTAATACCACAAGGAGATCCTAGTTACCTGAACTGTTGACTGTGGTAAGTCGTTGATTTGCCATACAGATGCACCACCGTGTTGGTGGTTGTTCTCATCAAGAGCTAATAGCATTTCATAGTCATTCCTAAACCAAAGAAGGAAAGGACATGTTAGAAAACACGATATACATCTTTTCCAAAACAATAGTAATGACGCTAAAAACGAGATTGATAACGTAAAGAAGAAAGAAGACAATACTACATAGATTAGTTTTTTTTGATAAGGTATAGTACATAGATTACTTCAGATTAGTTCATTCCCTCGGATGACACATACCCTTGCACCTTAACTTCAGAGAGAATCAAATTATGTTACTTAGAGTTTCTAGTAATATCATTGAAAAAAATACGTTTCAGAGATTTGAATGCGTAGTCACCATGCCTCCTTTTACATTTTGATGCAACAAAAGTTAATTTCATTGAAGTGCTAATTTCATTGAAGTCATAAAAACTTACTCATTGAAGTCACGCTGCGTCTGAAGGAGGTTACCATCAACATCCATATTACTGAAAGCCTCTAATGTTTCCAATATATGCATCCTCTGCAACATTCAGAAAAAGTAAATTACACATTCACTGCTGGACCCACATCAAAAAAAATAGACAGCAATTACCCAAATCCCATTTTAATCATTCGGCTAAAACAAGTCCTTCAATAAGAGAGGTGAAAAGAGCATCTCTTTGACGCTGAAGTTTTAATGGGAAGAGGTGATGGTTTCTTTCAGAAGGAGCAAAGACAGAAAGGTGGAGACCGGAAGAACCAATCAGGGCACAAGTGAGGATGATAATAAAGAGCTTAAGGGAGCTTGTGGTCCCATAAGAGATGTTCTCTTAACAGAAAATCGTTTGTTCTTTGTTAAGGATTATAACATGAGATCTCTTTATGTTTATCAAGATAAAAGAAAGAAGTGCGATATTTTTCTCCTCTGTATCAAATCCTGTCTTCTTAAGTATGTTTTGACAAACCAAAGAAATAGATGAACTTAGCTAACTATCCATTTATATCAATCCTACATCCAGAATAAAAGAACCCCACATCAAAGTAGGATTTCATTGTACACATTCAAACTCATACAATGATGCCATATAGGGTAATCACACATCCAAAAGGGAAAGAGAACCCATAATGCAATAATTGCTCCACATTTCAATGAAAATATATCAAATCTTTTAAAATGATGCCATTCAAACTCATACAATGATGCATATAGGGTAATCACACATCCAAAAGGGAAAGAGAACCCATAATGCAATAATTGCTCCACATTTCAATGAAAATATATCAAATCTTTTAAAATGATGCCATTCAAACTCATACAATGATGCATATAGGGTAATCACACATCCAAAAGGGAAAGAGAACCCATAATGCAATAATTGCTCCACATTTCAATGAAAATATATCAAATCTTTTAAAATGATGCCATTCAAACTCATACAATGATGCATATAGGGTAATCACACATCCAAAAGGGAAAGAGAACCCATAATGCAATAATTGCTCCACATTTCAATGAAAATATATCAAATCTTTTAAAATGTCCTTTTGGAAAGTAGGGAAAGAAAGGAGATAAATCATAATATAAGAACAAGATCTGCACACAAGGATGTTGCCTAATGGTCGATGAAGTTGGAATGAAGACCAACGGAGACTAAGGTACTCCAGCAGATTCAGAAAACGTAGGTGATTGTCATTTCTTAGGTACCTTTCTATTTCTCTCTTTCTATTTGACTGTTTATAACTCTATAGGCTAGTGACTCTCAAACTGAGGCGGCTCAGATTCAATTTTCCATAGCCCGTCCTTTCTTTCTTTATATATGACACAGCTGCTTAACACTAATCATCTCGGTCTCTTCTAAAACACAAACTACTGTAGAATCAACCTAAATAGCTTAGAAACAAAAAGTCATTACTTGAAGCCAACTGAATACAAGCAGCATGAAAATAACAAGAAATACAACTTGGGTAAACTAAATGTTTTATTGGCGACCAAAGTCACAAGGAAAAATGGAAGTAATAAATACCATGTCCACATCCATATTAGGAGGAAATAGTGAATTTCTTCCTCTAGAAGATGAGACTGTACGAGGTTGTCCAGGGAAACGGCTCCTCAACCTTGCCATTCTATTTGATGAAGAAGCCCGAGCTTGAGAAGCTCTACGAGATGTAATGGATGCATTTCTTGATTGTCGTCTGCGTATGTTTGCAACCAATGATCCATTCTGCACAACATCCCCACGTCCCAAAAAGAAAAAAAGACAAAAGGAGGAAAAAGAAAAAGAACTCAGTCAGAGATCAAGGCACATTCTTAAAGGATGAAAACAGAATATGAATTAAAGGTTTTTTGTTTTTTGCACATTTTGAAGACTAATGTATTTAAGATCACACTTAGACTAGGAAATTCAAAGAGAAAGACACACAAAATAGGTGATACTGCAGCAACAACAACAACAACAACCCAGTATAATCCCATTAGTGGGGTCTGGGGAGGGTAGTTTGTACGCAGATCTTACCCCTACCCTGGGGTAGAGAGGCTGTTTCCGATAGACCCTCGGCTCCCTCCCTCCAAGAACTCCCACCTTGCTCTTGGGGTGACTCGAACTCACAACCTCTTGGTTGGAAGTGGAGTGTTCACCACTAGAGTAACCCACTCTTGTCAAAATAGGTGATACTGCAATCACAGCAAATTTTAAACAAAAATCAAAATGAAAACCTTGAATTTCAATCAATGCTGCAAGTCAAAGTTATATAACAAAGAAAGAACAATCAATTTGCACGGCTACAACCCAAATTACCAACTATCATGATCGTTGATCACAGCAATATATCCAACATGAGCACATTCAAGTGTAAACAATTTCAAATATTTTTGGGTACATATAAAAAGTACACAGCCCCCAGAGGAAGTTCCAGACTGGGTAGGTCAAAAAATTTTAAGTGTCTCAGACACAAACTTCACTACAAATGAAAATGTTGAATATGGTTTTCCGCTACAACAACTTAAGTTCAGCAAACAAGATCGAGGGAAGAGCTGAAGACAAAGCTCGTCCTTGACCTGACCAAGTAGAGTTAGATATCTCCAGAAAGAGCTTGAGAGTAGCATAGAGCTAAATGTGGCATGGAAAATGTGGTAACTGTTTGAATACAGTTTGGAAATGGAAGTTCTACGGTGAGCGAAATTATTCATGCAAGGTCTTTAAAGTAAATAAGGGAGGTCCCCAGTGCACAAAACCTTTAACATCTTCTCATGATCTAGCATTAAGAAACACATTAGCAGTTCATGACGGTGCATATGGACCCATATATATATACTCAAACGCGTGTGCAGTTTCCAGTTCCAAATCCCATATTGCTCACTAGTTTCTGGACTAAATTCCTAATTTTTTTGAATTTAGTACAGTACCTAGTCAGCAAAATTTGACTACTTATTTCTATTCTTAGTTATTAATATATTTATTTATGACATTTTCTTAACAATTCATATATCATTTTCTAGAGCTATATGTACCGTTCGTTGCTGCCCTCTTCAATGCCCTATGGTCGATGAGGTGCATCGCTTAGTGCCTTGGTGCTAAGCATTGAGGTGCCTCTTAAGCTCGGCGAAGTTCCCGGCCTGCACTACATCTAGCTTCAAGGCTTAAGTGTACCTCAAGCGAGCCTTTAACAACACAAGATATCATGTTTGAGTATAATGCATATTTGGGACCATATGCACCAGCATACGTACTAACTTTAGCAAAACCTCCAATTTCTATATCACTTCATGTCAAAGAAAACCTAGTATACAAAGATCTATTTTAGCAACAAAGGATTGATTGAATTGTCTTACTAGGGCAAGTCATGGTTCATATGCTTAGTCAAAAAGGATAATCCAACGAAATTTATGGGTTTACCTAGGTCACTTAACGGGCAAATCAATAAAAGATTTTTATCTTTGAAACCCATTGGAAAGGCAGTGCAAGAGAAATCATACAAAAATAATCGAACTTTTGAATTCCCCGAAAAAGATATGAGGTGCTCAGAGATGGTCGAAGTAATTGAATAGGAGGATTATTATGAATATTACCAAGTGCAAATGAAAGTCAAAGTAACTTCTGAATTAACATTCCACATATTAAAGCCCCCAAACATGAACATAATGTATAAATCTTTGAAAGTCGGATGTCAATGTCAATATTAGACCTAAGTGGCACATGTTTTACTAAGAAGCGATGTAAAGTATAGAAGACAATAAAATGTAAGGAAGCCCAACATACAAGATTGGATAATTGATTCTCTCCCCCAGAGGAAGCATGTAGGAGATCCTCCTGCGCTAAAGCCAAGGCTACATCTCCATCAATCTGTTGCGAAGAAAAGCAAAACTATCAAAAAATAGTAGGTGTTTGGATAATATTTGGTTGAAGTTTGAAAAAAGTATTTGTAGTTGTAGTTGAAACGGGTATTTGGAAGAAGTTGTGCTTGGACATGAATTTCACTTGGAAAAACATTTGAAGTTTTGTGAGTGGGAACCATTATTTTCACTTGAAATACTTCTCAAACCAGTTCTTCAAAATTCAAATTCTCTATTTCAAGTTGAAGTTTAAATAATGGACCAGATTGTAGAACAAAGACATTTGAATTTTTTTTTTCTCAAACTTCCCAAATATCATCTATGGACAAAGGGGTATGGTACTGTGTACGGAAGACAAGAACAGTTAAATATTGATAGAGAACAGCTAAAAATATGCTCATAAAGAGTCCAACCTCGCCAACGCCAAACGAAGGCACCTCATTATATAATTGTTCTTGGAGTTCCCGTGCCAGCCTTTCATCAGCTTCTAATTGTCTGGTCCTAGCATCATCATTCCTACTACTGCTACATACAACACGAGAGCCTTCATGTCTTGTGGTAGAGGAGGGACTGTCCACATCAATCACTGGTTCTACGCCTATACCTACATGATTTCTGTTTCTGGTGGACCTTCTATTAATCCTACTTTCAGGTGATGCAAGCAAAATGATGTCTAAATCATCAGAGGCTGATGTAGAACATTCACCATGGATGCTTGAGGCAGGTCCCTGCTTTAGTCTATTCTTAACTGTGTTTAATGCAGTATGATTTCCATTAATTTGGGGACATTGAGGTCCAGAAATGGATTCATTTGGCTCTGCAGATTCACCAGAAACATGTCTAATAGAAGCTGAATCGTGACCATTACTTGCATCATCTCTTCGCGTCGCCCAACTCCCACTGGAGTGAGTGATAAAGCAGGCACTATCCTTATCTAAGGTCCTGTGCACATTGGACAAAGAAAAGTTCATGTTCCCACTACGGTTACGTGTACTTCTCCATCCACTGGATTCGTCAAAGCTTCTGGACGCATCTCTACTGGAATCACTCGTTTCCTTTGCCTTCTCATCAATAGATATCAAACTTCTGGAAGGATAAATGAAAAAAAAAAAAAAAAAAAAAAAA